AAGAAGATGACGACCAGACAAATGGTCAGAATGAGCCCGCTGTAGGTGGCGAGGATCGAGATGGAATCGTTGACAATCACATCGACATGAGGCCTATCAGGCCTGTGGTCGTGCCGTATTTCCATGACGTGCGTTGACCACTGACAGCTGTCGATAGCCCTCAAAGTCTGTACCTATGAGGGTATTTGCCCTGAAGTGTCGGTATCGAGCAGTTGCAAGGGCGTCGACTATCTCGAGAAATAGATTATCTCTAATGGAGTCGAAGTGATCTCGTTCTGAATGTTGCTGCAGGTGCGGGTCGCTGCTTCCCTACCAGAGGGATCGAGGCCTTGCTTGGCTTTGACGAGGTTCCGTCAAGGACTTCACATAAATTAATTAATATGATGCCAGCCAGAGTTCGGTCTTTGACTGATGGTCTAAAATGGGAAAGAAGAAGGAAAAGCAACAAGAAAAAGGCAATTCTGACCGAGCAATGTTATCGCAGATCACTCGCACAATCTACAAACGTAACAGGAAAATTTTGTACGGTCTACGGCATCGCAAAACCTTAAAAAACTTCGTATCCCTCGATTCTAATATAAATATGGTGAGGGTAAATGAATAGCTCGGATCTGGCGGCACTCAGACTAGTCAGCGCGATCTTCATCTAGTGCCTATGGCCTTGTGTACTACCTGATGGACAGGTCTAGGCCAGGGGTACAGCAGGCTAGATACCTGCAGAACATGAGGGCCCCTGGATAATTGTCCCAGGCAAACCACACTAAATAACATTCCGAGCTACAAGTCAGACGAAAGGATCTCCTTGTGTCTTGATCATCTCGAAGTCTCTACAAGGAAATACGAGGGAAGGGATTCCAGGTTGGAGAGGACCTTCTAAGTCGTAGCCAAACCTACACCGCTTGCAACCAAGCATTTCTTTCTCCTACTATATCGACTGAACAATGTGTTGGATTCTTTATGCAGTGTCTCGCTGGAATGTCATTCGCCTAAATTTAGAGTCTAAAGAGACATTGAAACAAGCTCGCCAGCTCGCCACATTGGGACGAGTCTGTTGTCTGCAGGGTCGTCCAAGGGGTTGATACACTGACGGTGGAACACTAGGATGCCGTGCGGGGGCACCATTGGCACTGACAGCGCCGATCAAAGCTTGTTTCAACGACCATCTACCACTAATTAGAGAGCTACCCCAGTCTTGACCTACGGACATTTACCTCAGCAGTTTGGCACGCCCCACCACTGTCGCGCCTCTTGTTCCGCTTTTGTTGTTGTTAAATTCGAATATGTACCATGCACACCGCCCGCAGTTGACCAAGAGCCTTCCAGTAGTATCATGTACTTGAGCGAGTTGAAAATGAAGATTTGCTTAAGTAAGATCCTGTCGATATTCTTGAAAGTCAACCAACCTGCTTAGACTGAAGCCGCTCGGATCCCAAAGGAGCATTTAGTGTAGCCCAGCACCTGCTGCCTCACGAGTCACGCCCCTCAGGTTGTCTGACAAGCTCGAAAAATACGTGCAAGTACCTAAGTTTTCAGGTACATTTATCCCCATTCTCGTAATTTCCGAAAAGTGCAATCTTCCGAGCCACTTAGAACGGCTCAAAAACATTAAATGCTTACCTGCAACCGTTCCAACTCGGCTGCGGCTGAAATCGATCAACCTATCCTCCTGGGAAAATTTGATTAAATGCATGTTAAGTTGATGGTACACCCTGTAGTCTCGGTCTTGATATGTAGTCTGCCGAGGGAATTCAAGACGTCTCATAACTTCCAGGTTGATAGACTAGATTCGAGCTCTATCCTGTTTGCAAGCCCGAAGATTCTTGGCAACTTGACAGATACAGAAAGACACTAGTTCTTGGGGACAGATAACATACACAATTTGGGTCTGGCCTATATCTACTGGCCGCCTGTTCAACGACTGCTCATCACCTTCTTTGGAAGTCTTTCCTTCCATCACCAGACCTTCATATACTATAGAGGCTTATGAAAGATCATTGGTTCACCCCCTTATGTGTTGAACTGCGCATACTCTCGCAAGATCAACACAGAGAACAGTTGTGACACAGCGGCGATTGCCAGTGCACTGCACCGGCCAACTTCCTTTCTTTCGTCATATTAATTTTGTTTAAAGGCAAATGGGTCGAGAGTATGCTAAAGCTTCTTCATGTATTCTTCGTGACTGTTTGAGGCAGATTGGTGACATTTCTGAAGTGGCTGTCGGTTTTACAATTTTACTAGATCCTGGCTTTGAATGGGTCAAGTATTTATAACAAACCCACAACGCATTATTTCAGTCCCTGTTTATACATCTTTGACAATTTCCTACCAGTACCAGTGCCCACTAAACGTATATAATCGAAATAAAAAGGAAACATTCAGCGCACGACACATCTCACTCGCCTTCTTATACTATCAAAGCCATCCGTTGCGACACTGTGCCCGCCCTTGCTATGCTTACGTGTAAGATGGGAGTGCTCATTCAGTCATCCTATCAACTAGCGATGAATTTCGAGTTCCGTAGGAGCAGACAGGCATGTCCGCAAGCTATTGGGCACGTGTTGGTCCATCTTGAGTGCTAGAGCCGCCTTGGCCGTTCCAGACAGCGGCTAAGGTTGCTAGTTCTAGCAACAAGGGATGTCGTGTGAGACATCGAGGCCGTCTTTCGATCCTAAAAGCAGGTACCGAATGGCCCGTGCTGCACCACCAGAAGCAATAAGCAAGGTTCTACAGCTGATAGAAAGTACACAAGCTGCAGGTATGAAAATAGCCACGACTGATGTGTTCTACAAGGTAACTGCTAGCGACGGAACTTCCAGCCCTGCTTTTGGCATATGAGTGGCAAGAAAAGCAACCCGTGTCCCGAACCCTAATTTGTGTCTCCCTTTCTTGTCATGGAATATTTTTCTGACGACATGGGTGGGGGTCACGAAGTTGACTGGCATGATCTTAAAGCCAGTCCCCTTCCTCAAAGTTGGCATTTGGTCTGATTTTGACGGTGCTTTCCAGCTCTGGTTGCCAGAATGATATCCAACCGCTCCTTCACCATTGTTTTCTTTGCCTTCATATCAGGTGTTGTATTACTATTAACAGCAAAACACCTTGAGCAGCCCGCCTGGGATACCGACCACCTTTCAGCGAGAGGCTTTCGTTTGCATTCTGTCAAGGCAGAGGCCGATGTAATCACAACTACGACAAGCCGTACAAAGTCAAAAGGAAATGATACACCAGGGCCTCGCTCTGCCAGTGCAGCATTGGCCGACCATGTACCCATAAGTTCGCCCTCGCCTGGGGACGAGAAGCCCTCCTCGGGAAGACGAGATCGGTCCCAGACACCATTGGTACCTAGTCGTGACCCCGTCTGCGATGGCTTTCCAGATACCTCTGGGATCTTGCTGGTCATGAAAACGGGTGCGACAGAAGCTTATGACAGGCTACCTGTCCAGATCATGACTGTCCTCAAATGCTTGCCGGACTTCCTACTTTTCTCCGATCTCGACCAGCACATTGGAGGCTATCACGTCCGCGACAGCCTCGAGACGGTGCTGTCCGAAGCACAAGAAGACAATCCTGATTTTGATTTATATCGGGCGCAAAAAGAATGTGCTGTCAATCAGGATGACTGTTCCAAAGTATTAGGCGGCTCAGATTCCGCGGGGTGGAACCTCGACAAATACAAGAACATCCACATGGCCGAAAAAGCCTACCGATTACGACCAGATTATGATTGGTATGTCTTTGTTGATGCCGACACGTATGTCTCGTGGCCGAACATGGTGTATGCTCTAAAGAAGCTGGATCCTGCCAAGGAGAGATACCTAGGGGTTCCGACGATGATTGGAGACAGAATATTCGCCCATGGCGGAAGTGGTTATGTCGTGTCTCGTGGTGCCATGAAGGAGTTTGTTGGAAAGCATCCAGGAATTGCCAACAAATATGACATCGATATGCGTAAAAATTGTTGTGGTGACTTTGTTTTCGCGGTGGCTCTACACGACAGCCTGGGTATACTGGTCGAGGGATTTGTAAGTGAGATGCACGCCAGCGATCAGCCACTATATGAAGATCCTGTCTACGAACACAATATTGTGAGTGAAAGTCAAAGCTGATACTCATTCCTTTTACAGTGGCCTCTATCCAACGGCGAAAAGCCCTTCACCGCGTCCTACGGCCCGAACACATGGTGCCACGCCGTGGGAATGATGCACCACATGAATAGTGAAGAAATTTCCACGTTTTGGGAATTCGAGCGCAAGCGGTACCGGACGAACCAAAAGCCGTTGATCTTCAAAGAAGTCTACAACGAGTTTGTTGGCAACAAAATCCGGCCCGTACGCGAGGACTGGGACAATGGGGCGGACGACTGGTTTTTGATTGACTTTTCCCGATCCGACCACACTTGGGAAGAATGGCGGATCGGCCGGGCGTCGAAGGAGGAGGACAAGACGGAGACGGAGAAGGTTGCGCACACCAGCTGGGAGAACTGCAGGGCCGCGTGCCTAGAACACGAACAGTGCTACATGTTCAACTGGCACGATCAATGCTGCTCCATGCACAGGAGTTTTAAGCTGGGCAAGCCAGTGAAGTCATACTACGAGGAGGACATGCGCACGATCAGCGGATGGAATGTCGACAAGATCAAGGGTTGGATAGAAGAGCAGGGACAGTGCGCAGATGGAGGCGAGTGGCCAGGACCCGTTAGCGAGGCTTTGCTACGGGAGAAGTGGTCACAAGCTGGAGTTGCGCCTTGAAAGACAATGAATTACACTTTGGAGGTTCGCTTGGAACCCAATTTCGAAAAAACCTTTTACCTTTCCCATCATCGCCAGCAGTATTGCCGTATTGACCCTGTGTGTTGCAAGTGCAAGGTCCCTAGGAGCGCAGCTGTGCAGCGGCTTCATAGGCAGTTTCCGAATCAGCACCCGCGAAACTAACTGCGATACCCACATCTCCGAACTATTCAAAAGAGAAAAGGGGGGGAAATGGTCAAAAATCAAAAGGATTGTCCCTAGCAAGGTTCGAACTTGCGACCTTTGGATGTGAATTATGTCGAGGGTGTACCACCGACTCATATGCGTAATATGAGACCAACGCTCTACCGACTGAGCCATAGAGACTGTTGATTGGATGGCTTATCTCCGAAAATGTTGGCATTATGTACTTAGGTAGTTGACTTGTCTAGCGGCACTTGCACCAAGATCGCGCCCTACCAAAATAATAGTGATAGACGTCTTCCAATAGCACACACGCTATTCTCAATTTCCAACTGCATCTTGGCATATCGTGAAAAGTTGTATACGATGACGGAGACCCCACATTGGGCAGAACACTTATCTCTAGCTTGCGCCGTCGCCCGCTGATCGAGAAGCAGACATCCCTTGCTTCGAGCCTGATATCCCCGCTAGTACAATTTGACCATACGCGGCGATCAATCGACTGTGTTGCTGTGATTGAAATACGAAGATTTGTGAATTCGACAGCTTTACTTCGGATTTTAGCCACCTAGTCAGCCAATCCATGCCCTTGTGGTTGTGAGCCTACATACGTAAATCCTTCAAGGTCTTGCTATATCCCTGCCTCCAACCCATACAAACAGCCAGCTGATTGTAATCATCAACCTTCTCCGCCAACTCCTGGTCCAGGCGAGACTCCCAGATCGCCACGCGAGCCAGGCTGCATTGCCTGTCCACTCCTCGCGTCCTCCTATCACGCCATCATGAGACCCCAAATATGCTAGGAGGGCTCGCTGTTTATATTCAAACCGGCGTGGCTCAGGCTCTCCGCGGTTGAAAGTATCTCGAAGATACTCGCCCTTTTGTAAAGCTACCTCAGCCAACGTTGGAAGCGACTCGCCTTCGATATCGGCTGCATCACCCAATGCATATACTCCCTCCATCGGAGTCCCATCCGGCTTGAGCACACGTAGATACCGGTCCGTCAAGATCCGCGGAAGGCCCTTGTCGGGCATTTTGACCCTCTTCGAAATTTTGTCAACTAGAGGGTTCACGCTATTGCCCGTCGCCCAAATGAGCACCCCGTACGGAAGTCGTCCGTTCTCCTTGGTGAAAATGGCGTCAGCCTCAACTTTCTCGATGTGCGAGCTAGTCTCAATCCTGACAACGCCTTGTTTGCCCTTGGTCAATGATTCTGTAGCATACTCCGCCAGACTTCGATCAAAAGTGGTCAAGATTGAAGGCGCAACGTCGTGGATGGTAATGCTCAATTTGCCATCCAGATGAGGAAACAAGAATCGCATTTCATCGTTCCACAGGTCGAACAGTTCCGCAGCAGCTTCGATGCCAATCGCGCCCCCGCCAACAATTCGAATGTTGAGAATATCGCGCTGCTTCTGCTCATCTGTAGCAACGGTGGGGAGAGAGGCTTGATCCAACATCTCAAGCAGCCGTTGCTGGAGAAGTCGGGCATCGTTGGTAGTGCGCAGAAAGAGGGCATGTTCTTTCGCACCTGGTGTGCCAAAGGTCTGAATATCGCATCCGGGAGCTATGCAGAGCTTGTCGTACTTGACGTCGAAGGTGCTCGATTCTTTACCATCCACTCCGGCTGCCGTCAGACATTGGACGATACGTCGGTCAAAGTCAATATTCTCTGCTGTAGCTTTGAAATATTCGACCTCGGTTCGGCTTTTTCGTCGAACGGGTTCCTCGGCCAGACGGAAGTTGAACAGCCCACATGCTGCGCTGGCGAGGAGAGGGGTGTACTGCACCGTTCGTAGAGGCGATATGACCTTCAGGTGATATTTTTCCAACGCAACCTGTTGTGACAATGTGAATCCACCCCATCCGGTGCCTATGATGGCGAGAACGGGTTTTCTGGTCGCCATAATGGTTCAAATGTTGACCTTAGAAGAGCCCGATTTAGACAATTTGTGACATTTTGTGCAAAATGCACAACAAATCGAGCATCAATCCGTAATATACAATTATATCCTGGATTTTCCAGGTGTGCCTAATTCGCTGGAAAATGTATACTCTGCGTCATTCCAAGGTAACATTATTGATGATACACTCAAGCCTTCGCGATGAGCGGTAACGTCATAGGATTTCGCGTCATCCACCACCACAGTCCGATATTTTTCCAACTACGACTCGCAAACTCGGCATTCGGCATGTATCAGTCCAGTTTCTCCATGGGTATCAGCTCTGGTTTTGTTTAATGATGACCAATTTACATTTGATATACGCTAAAAAAAAATCCTGTTTACAACATACACATTATGTACATTTTTATCCTCCAGGGGCACCAAACCCGCGAATTGAAATGCAAGCAGGGCACCCCAACCCAGTTCCACCCGAGTGTTGAGCTGCTGAACCGCAGTGAAACCTGAGAAGACCAGAAAATTTAGAACGCTGGCGGTTGTGGAGGTGTCCTAGGCTTATCAAATCGGAATTGTGGCGATACACTCGTTGGCTCGAGTTTGGACTGTTTGCGAAGAGCCAGAGGTGGTACGTTTGCGTCCTCCGGGATGCCATAATACGAGGACCTGAAGCCCCCGAGAGTCGATGAAGGTCGCTGCTGCTGGACGTATTCCATGATTGACTCCCTCCGACTCACCCTGCGTGGAGGTCTCGGCGGCAATTTTGTCTCATACTCCATTTCTCGCGCGTCTGCTGCGTTGGAGCCTTTGAGCTGCGGGAAGAAAACAGCATATACCGGTTCATCGCCACTAGGTCCGATTGGATTCTTCGAATATAGTATTTGATGCGGCACTCCGCTTGCAGCAATGCGAGTCTCGATCTTCTGGCGCGTGATAATCTGGGGTTTTTCGACGTCCTCAGGTTCCTTTATCGAATAGTCGCCGGGCTTAGACGAGCCATTGGGAATGTGGAACAGCAAGTCGAAGCGGAAAACGGCGTACGCGGCCACCACCAAGATCTCCAACATGAACTGTGTGGTGTAGAAAACGGGTTTACCATAGAGGACGTCGTTGGTGTCAGCGGGCCGCGGATTGAAGATGGCGTAGATGCGGACGATGGCACCAGTGGTAAGCATAGTGGATGCGAGCATAACCAGCGACGTCTTCACTCTAAGGTGCCCCACGCCAAATTTCTCCGGCCTAGGTCCGGGTACTGAGCAGGCCAGAAAGATGGCCCAGAAGGGAAATGTGGCCAGAATGAGGAGGTAGGTTGTTCCGACCTTCAAAAGCTTGTCAAACCCGTCGAAGCGGCCTTCATTATCGACAGAAAAGAAGATTACAATAATCGAGACAATTTGGGAAACGATGAAGATGGGCACAGAAATGGCCATCGCCCGAGTGATTAGGCTGAAGGGTAGTGACCAGCCAAACTTTGGGTGCATGGAACGGATGATCCTCTGCGTGAGAAAGATGTTGACAGCAAAAATAACGGAAGCTCTGGTTACCGGATGTCAGTATGCATGTTGTTCCAAGAAGATCATTTCGTATACTCACCCTCCATTGAAAAAGATTTGGGCAGCTAGCACAACCCCGCGAGGATGGATGAACACCCAAATGATCCGAAATATACACGTCACGGTACGAACCATACAAAAGTCAAACATCAGATCTGACAGCAGAAACTTGTGGCCACGCTTGGCATTCGCCCGATATATCGAGATATGTGTGACAGCACCGCTGATGAACAGGATGAGGAAGAAGACGGTGAGAGGTAAATCGACGGTCGTATTTGGTGGGTTTCCGCCAGGGAATGCACCCACTGCTGGATCTGGAGTTATTGACGCTGCTCCAGTTGGTTCTGGAGTGCTTCCACTGTCTACCGTTGGTAAAGGCGCTACCAGAGCAGCATTACCGGGATTGAGGGTTATGACACCTTGGGGTTCATTGCCTCCAAGAGCACTGGCGAAGTTGAAGAGCGCGGCCTGTTGAAGGGCGATAGTCAGGAAGACCTCTCCCTGGGCCCCTGTCACTGGATTTGGTGTGGTTGCTGGTGCAGGATTCTGCGTTGGTAGTATCGATGCTGGAGGAGTTGTCTGTGGAGGTGGCAATTGCTGCGGGATCTGCGTATTCTCAACTGTTATATTCTGTGTAACGGTCTGGGTGACTGGTGCTATGGTCGCTGGTGATGCTGTGACAGTAACGGTATTCTCTGTAATAGTCTGGGTAACTGGTGCTTTGGTCGCTAGTGATGCTGTGACGGTAACGGTATCCTCTGTAATGGTCTGGGTAACTGGTGCTTTGGTCGCTGTTGATGTCGTGACAGTAGTAGCGGTATCCGAATCCTTTTTGCCATGCACTAGGATGTCGGGCATGCATAGGAGACTCGCAGCCACAAGAAGGCGGCGAAGGTGCGTTCCCTTCATTGTGTTCTAGTTCGCGAAAGCTCGTAGAAGTTACATTACTTTCATGTTGATTAGTTGAATAGAGTTTAAAAGATAATTGACGTGAACATATGATCGAAACAGCGCAGACCAAGACCCAGCCTTATTATTAACATGACAGATGAATGGTGTCTGGAACGATCTGATCTATCTAAGGTAACTCATGAGCTCTCGGATACGTGGCTCTCAAGACGCAAAGCAATCGAGGTCCTACGCATGTCCTGCCAATTTTGGAGGCCAAACGTCGCCTGGAACCACTTCGGAAGATTGTGTGGCACACTCTTTCAAGAGAACAAGCCTAACCTCCGCCGCACCGAAGTAGGAAATTCATGTATGGGCCAGAAAGGGAAGTGCAGGCGTGTCGTCTGAGAACCTTAGACATGCAGGACATTCATAAGACGAATTTTGAGAGGCCAAGTAGTGAGCGAGCTCCTGAGGTTTGTTGTTCAGGACCATTTGATGGATTCGTTCTTGTTGGGAACTAAGTGCTGATTGTATTACCTGCCTGCTATAAACTGGCATGTGCATCTTCAAATATTCATTATTATTACGATCGCTACAAATACATGCATCTTCTTTCTATTTTCTAAAAGTCCTGTGATACAGGCCTTCTTCGGTCACAATTTGCAATATTGCAAGCGAACTACATCTTGTTTTGTGTGTTAGCGGATGCTTGTCGCGTGACGCGGTCTCAGGCTGCAGTACTCGGTTAAACTCTGCTGCGGGCTAGGAATTCGGGAGCATGCTATCGTGGTCAGACGGTGTGTCAAAGGTAGGCTGTCAGCTCAGTAGAACGATCCAT